GCAAGCATGTATTTACAAAGTAAAATTTAAATCTAAAAGTAAAAAGAGAAATATTAAAGGGAATTAATGAAACTGCAAGAAACACTAATGAATAAGAAAAATGAGGCTATAATAAGCTCACTGCTTTTATTAATGACATGGACAAAATAAAAGTTTTATAATATTGTAAACTATTTTCAAACACTATGCATAACTTTAGCATATTAATAATGGTAACTGTATTATTGTGTAAGAGACAGAATATACAGATAGGTGTTAAATGGAATACCAAGAATTTTAACAGTGAAAAATAGAGTACTGGTAGAGAGCTTTCTTATCCACATTTTTTCCTCAACTCTAGACTGTTCTCAATTTTCACATAAATGAAGTGCTCTGTTTCAAAAACTTATTATATGCCAAAATGCTTCTCACAAGATTTGCAGTAAATGTAAGTAAAAAAATTAAATAGATAAATCCATCATTTCAAGCAAGGAATCAAAGCACAACATGTCTACAATGTCAACAGTGAGAAGAAAAGGAAAGAAGGTTTTGTAAAAATAAGTTTCAAAATGACTGTAGTAATACACTACCTATAAATAGTTAAAGGAATATAAGGGAACAAACTTTCAAAATAAAAGACACAACAAGTGAGCATATTAAAAAAGGATCTCTAATCCCAGCTCTGGGGAGGCTGAAAATAGGAGGATCACTCTGAGTCCAAGCTGTGTAGTAAGACCCTATACAACAACAACAACAACAACAACAACAACAACAACAAAAAGTATCTAACTCCATGTTGTTAAAGTGAAGTACACTTCATATCTACAGACAATGCACAGACCAAAAAATAATCCTTGTCACTAGATAGAACCTCCCCCTCCCCCTCCCCCTCCAAAACCTAGAGTGGCCACACTTGCTTTGTTTAAAATGGACTGTCATTACCCTGACACCAAAACCAGCTAAGGGCGCATGGTTGGGGTATCCTTGAGGACACAGACGCAAAATCTCATCTGCACAGTTTTAAAACACTGAACCCGCAGTGCATTAGAGAGATTGCTTGGCATCATAAAATGAGATTTATCATAGGAATGAGGTGGTTGCTTGCCATGTGCAAATCAGGAACAGTGATATAATGCATCAACAAAAACCAAAGAAAATAGCCTATATGGATGGAGAAAGAATGAGAGCAAGACAGCGAGAAGCTCAAAACTTCACAAACTAAGTGTTGGAATGAATATATTATTTTAGCAAAACTGCAGGATGAAAAACTAAACTGAAAATATAAAAATATTGCTATAAGGCAAAACCAAATTATCTGAGCTAGAAGAGAAGAAAAATATTATTCACAATAACTACAAAAATACTCTCCATGACCAAAGAAATAATCAACAGTTTGAAGAAAAGACCTGCAGAGTCAGAAAATTATTTAAAACTAATACACTTGAAAATGAGTTCATTGAACTCTAGGACATACAAGAATCCCAAAACAGTCAGTAACAAAAACAAAGAATGTGATTAAAAAAAAAATACCAGTGGACCAAATGATAGATTTCTTAAAAGAAGACATACAAAAGATCAAAATGAAACATGTTGAACTTCACTAATTGAGAGGGAAAAGCAAATCAAAGACTTTGGACAGCTCCTCACTCCAGGAAGAATGGCTTCATCATGAAGACTCAAGATAAAGAGACATTCCAAGGAGAAGTGGGGGGAAAGGGCAGCTCTGCACTCTGGGGGTGGGAATGTGACTTACTACAGGTGCTGTGGAAATCTGTAGGTAAGCTCCATACAAAATTAAGAGTAGAACAATGCCATGACCTTATCTTCCCTTTTCTGAGTACAAATACAAAGGAAATGAAGCTGGAATGGCAAAGAGATGCTGTGTTCCTTGAGGTGATGAATTGAACACCATCAGTCTGTCCACCCTGGGTGGATAAGCCTGCATGTGGTGTGTGTGCACCAATAACCTCAGACATCCGTACAAAAAGGAACAAATGAGCCAGGTTAGAAAAACAGTGATGGAGTAATCTCATTCATTTATGGAATCTAATGAAAATGATGTCACAGAATGTGTGCAGTAAACAGAGTTGGGCTGGAGACAGCAGGGGGAGGCAGGAGGAACAGGCAGGTGAACTGTGACCGAGTCACTGTGAGGTCAGAGAGCTGCTGTGTGCTATGGCAGAGTAGGATGACAGCAGAAAACAGTTATGTACTGTGTTCTCCAAGTAGGGAGAACAAAGGGAGAGTTCACTGTAAAACAGTAAGTGGTTGGAGGAGCAAGCTTGTGGATCTTGGCCTGAACACTCCAGAAGGTCTGTATGTAAACACACATCTCAGATAACTCCACAACATGTAAACTCTTTACATTGTTACTCATCACTGAACATTGCATTTAATTTCAAAATGTAACCATCTTGGTCCCTACAGGCAGTTTTATGGCCTCAGAGACTGGAAGGAAGAGCAGTAGGTATTCTCAGGGGGACGTCTCCCGAGATCACAGTCTCCATAACCAGGTCCTGAGCTCCTGGTAAGGCCTCTGTGATCCCAACAGACTGCAGATGGCAACAGTTTGGAAGGCACAGTTTGTTGCCTCTGCTGTTGGACATCACGGACCCATCTTAGAGAGAGCCACTGCCACCTCCTGCAGGAGGGCTTCTGACCTGAGGACTGGCTGTGCGGCTGCAGGATGGCCGGGGAAATCCCTTGAAGGTACATTTCATCTGAAGCCTTACATAATCAGCTCTTAGTGAAGTGATTGAGATACTTCTTCAATCAGACACACTTCTGTGAGAGAATAACCAGGCCATGTTTGTCTTATAGTAAAGCAAGACATGATCTTCCAGTGCCACAGGAGCAGCCCACACTGCGATGGATCGTGGTCCACATCCATGTCCTCTTCTCCACTCTTCCCTCCATGCTTCAGGGGGTTGGAAAATGTGGCAACTGCCCGAGACCAAGGGAGCTGTGCCCCCAGGATGTCAGCCATGTCCCGGGGACACTTTGGTGACCACAAAGCATTCTGCACTGATGCACTTTCCTTACTTAACAGGCCACTGGGCTTCTGCATCCTAGACACATGTTAGTCAGAATGTAAGGTGTGTCAACCAGTGTCCTAACTATACTGAAGATATATCATTTAACAGTAGGAATGTTGAGATAGCGTTTAAATGGTGAGGTGCTCCCGTGGCATAAATGGCTTTCATAGAGATGTTAGTGATTTGTAAGACATAGATGCTCCTTTGCCAAAAAATTATGGACAAAAACCAAGAGAGGTAATGCTTTGAGTGGTTCCTGGCGTTATCTTTTTCACTTTATCTTTGTATCTCACTTGGCATTTCAAAGGAAAAGACACACAAACGTAAGTCCAGAATAGTGAACTGATTCTTTGATTTGCAAGAGGAGCCTGAATGAATTAGCAAATTCAGAACAGCTTATTCTTGGAAGGTGGCTATAACTCTTTCCAAGCCTTTGATCTATTACTTATAGAATCTCACGGGTTAGCATACATTCTCAGGTCTGCTGTTCACTAAATATGAAAGTGCATACATAACACATCCAAACTATTTCCATATAAATTGTTCACCCAATGACATACAACACAGGTGTGTAGACGCCACCATGCGTGATAAAGTTGATACGGTAGCATCTTCATGAGAATGCTGGACAAATTTAGCATGAAAGAGACTTAGAAAAAGGGATGGCAGGAAATGATCATTTGGGGCTAATGCCCTAGGAAAGATTGCAAAATAAATATAGAAATTGTAAAAAATGTTACCACACAAAAAGAATGTCACTAGATCAGAGGAGAGTCAAATAAAATATTTAG